TATAGTCAAATCAAACAAACACATACTCATGATATAGCTGTTGCATCAAACAAACTACTCATGAATGCATCAAACAAACACATACTCATGATCAGCTGTTGAATAATCAGCTGTTGAATGCGGAAACAAACAAACACATACTCATGATATAGTCAGCTGTTGCATCAAACAAACACATACTCATGATATAGTCAGCTGTTGCATCAAACAAACACATACTCTTGATATAGTCAGCTGTTGCATCAAACAAACACATACTCATGATATAGTCAGCTGTTGCATCAAACAAACACATACTCTTGATATAGTCAGCTGTTGAATGAGGCAACAAAGAAATACACAACTTTTATCAGGGATGTCTTACGGACGTCGAAAGGGTTTCGTCGTTTCTATTTATCGCTGCCAGTCACTGCCACATTCAACATCATAACTAAACACTATCATAAACAGCTTAGTTTATAATTATGATTAATATTTTATAATTACATCTATGATATTTATGACTTGTCTTTAATTTATTTAACAATTTAATTTTGGATGCCTGTTCATGTTTGTGACTATGGCAACAACACACCATCTTCCGCCAAATGATATATAAGGTGTCTGTCCACATTATCACAGGAAATATTGCCTTAGTTAATACACTGATCGTCGTAGAACTGGGAACCTTCAGCAGACATCTTCAGTTTAAAAACTCTTAAGTCTACATTCGAACAATATTTTTTATTTGCTATACTGCGGTAGCGGATGCAGTTAGTCGATGTATACCGGACGCCTGTACTTATTTAGTAACACTGCAAGCGACGTCTTTTATCACCAGACACAAATAAGAAATCTTTCCACCAAATGTAACGTCAATAGACGTTAGTCGATGTTTAACGGATGCCAGTATTTATATAGTACCGCTTAACACCATGTCCTTTACCTAACTGATTTCACCAGATACATGGACGAAAATCTTTCCACCAAATGTAAAGTCAACAGACATCAGTCGATACTTGGAGGATGATGGTATTTATTCAGTAATGCCTCACACTATTTTTTTATCCAAACGATTTCACCAAATACAAATCAGGGAGTCTTTCTGCCAAATGTAAAGTCAATACACGTTGATTATTTAACGATTCCCAAGTACAATTTCAGTTCTCATTAGACGACTGCGCAACAGTGTTCTTTTTGTCCCTACCCACTCCGCTTTTAACTTGTCAAGGTGAATCATGCATGAACTCATTGTGTCTCAACACTTTTAGAACTTTTGTTTTTTTGGGTATCATATATACTAGGCACATAAAGAAACTGTGCATACAAAAATTTAAAATCTAAATTTATCAAACCTGTGTAGACACATAAGGATTCAAACTCAGAGATTAGTGAAATGTATCCAACATGCATGCACGAGCCACGTTCTGTGACGTCAGTAGGTTCATCCTTGAGACGTGCAATACGTTGTTGCACGTGCATTCCGGGAAAGAGAAGCAGAGCAAATGCATGACACACAATACTGTCACTTTGGGAAGCTAAACCCCTGCCCTTGCGATGGTTAAAAAATTTAAACGGCTATTGAAACACATAGCATGCCAAGGCTCACGTCTGCACAACGTCATGAGGCCATTAGGATGGTCCGTGGGGGAATGTCTCAACGACAAGTGGCTGCCACCGGAACACCATTTCTGCACTGGTGAGACGCTACCAGAACACAAATGACGTCATCGATCAGCCACGTTCTGGACGTCCACTTGTAACAACGCCAAGACAGGACATATGGATAAGGGTGAGCCATCTTCGCCACAGGTTTCAGACTGCAGTGATGACTGCCCGAACCATCCCAGGACTTCGCCGTATCCACCCCAACACAGTTCGACAACGTTTACGTCATCACGGGATCAGACCACGACGTCCCGCCATACGGCCTATCCTGACACAACGTCATCGACAAGCTCGCCGAATGTGGTGCCGAAATCATGTCCGCAGACCCTTGTTTTGGTGGAGAAATGTTGTTTTTACAGATGGGTCCAGGTTTAATATTTCCCATAGTGATGGACGTCAACGTGCCTATAGACGCGTGGGAGAACGTTATGCACAGGCCTGTGTCTTGGAGAGGAATCGCTTTGGTGGTGGTTCCGTGATGATTTGGGGTGGAATAACAGCACGCCAAAGAACTCCTTTGGTGATTGTTCAGGGCAACTTAACTGGTGTGGGCTACAGGGATCAGATTCTTCGACCTGTGGCAATTCCTTTTCTGCAACGTCATGGCCCTGGGTTAACATTCCAACAGGACAATGCCCGCCCTCATACGGCAAGGGTTGCTATGGATTTCTTGCAACACCACAACGTTGACTTACTGACTTGGCCTGCAAATTCACCGGATCTCTCCCCGATAGAGCATGTTTGGGACGAGATGGATCAACGTCTACGCCGTCTTCCTCATCCGCCAGATAACATCCTTGACCTTACAACAGAACTTGTGAGAAACTGGCGTGACATCCCACAAGCCTTCCTTGCACGTTTGATAGGCTCTATGCGTCGTCGATGCACTGCTGTTCTCAATGCCGATGGTGGACATACCCTTTATTGAGCTTGAGACATGGTCGTTTGACCCCTGTCCCGCTTGTGGACTCGTGACGTCATTGTGATTGACTTTTCAATTGAAATTCTCCCAACTTGTTATGGTCTCATGATCCCTCCATTAACGTTTATATGTACCTTTGACATTGTTATCGTACTTATCAACTGGGATAATATTTTGACAATGCACAGTTTCTTTATGTGGCTAGTATAGTTTGTACTGAACCCAGTGTGATAACGTCGAATGGTTAACGTCCATGTTGAAACGCCATGGGTGTTCTTTTGGGCAACGGTAAGCGAAATGGCCGTCATTTTTCACACTGGGGTAAAAACATGAAAATGAATCGATTGTTTTTAGGCTGGCATTTGGATTGTCTAATGGAATCCTAACACGGTGAGAAAGATATCGGGGAAAACTCGGATTACGTGAATTTTTAAATTCACAGTAGGCTCCCTTGTCGAATCTATAATGGAGAGGTGTGTCAGCAAACTTAGGTTTTGGCTCGTAGCCAGACCTACGACTGAACATGTGATATCGAATGTCGACGTGTGACATCCTTCTCCGGTTTTAGTGTTTGTATGGTATCGTCTTCATGTTCAACGAAACTCTTTCCTGGATATGGTTTTTTAAAACGGGAGACGCTGGATGACGTCACCCGTTGTGTGTATTGCTTCAGGCACAATGTGTGATTATTAATAGGCGTAATGTTTTGTTCCTTTGACAAGTTCATATAATTGTCTTCACACTGAGCACATTTGAACTTTTTGTTAACGTTTTTTGCACGTTTCTGTTTGGAGAAATGTTTCAAAAGATTTATCAGATGGAAATGATAAACATCGATCAGAGAAATTGTACGGATTGGTTCTAAAGTAATCACCTGAAGAAGTGGGTTAGCGTTGTGTTCATGCTGAAGACCCTTGTTTGATTCCTAAGTTGGGGAATTATTTGAATTCCATACTTTGCGTACCTGTTGTGATGTAGCTGAAGTACACACTCACTCACTCACTCATTTGCAGCCTTGGTGCAAATCTCATTCACTGTGTTTGTGTACATCAACTGACTGAGGTACATATGAGGGGTGTTTTCTCACCCAGTGCTATCATCTGAAATCCTAATAATATTTACCGAAGGCATAGTTTAGGAAAAATGCCTCCTTTATGGACGTCCCATTTGTCCGTTTGTCTTGTTGCCATCCTAGCTCCAACTAACACAGTTGAGACATGGCCTGGGTTTTTCAGTCTAAAATCACAGGGATGGACAAGTTAGGACAGTGTCTGTTTTCAGATAGCTCCATACTTTGTATGCCAAATTGATAGGCGTCTGTGGTGTGCCACCTTATTGGGCATCACTTGTCCGTGTTGGTGTTTGAGAAAAGGTTGAAATTCAAAATACCACATTTGTCGAGCTAACGACTCCACGCCATTGTTTATTGACGATCCAAATGTCAAATTAAGGTAGAAGGTTCCCACTCGATCACTGTCCAATAGGAGGAAGGTACACAGGCTCCGGTTGCAACCTGTTAACGTTCGCCATTATTTCGTTCTATTTGTTGGAGCATGAACTCAATAAACCTTAAAACCTTACTGACAGCATTGTTCCGCGTTTGGAAGCTGTTGAGAAAGACGTGTGGCATATTCACAACGTGTTGTCAAAACAAGAACAACTATGGAATATATCGATTATTGTAATACATGACCACTTACATTGGACGAATATATGCACGCAATGTTTAAATTACGAATTGTCAAAGAATTGGATAGTTAACGATAGGCCACATAACAAGAAAGGATATAGATGATTGCTAGGTGATTCTCCTCGGGAATGTTTGTACAGGCTAAAAGAGTTTTTATTTGTGTGATCCTTGCGCATTCTTAAAAAGACAATCAACTATGAATGATGAAATTGCATATAAAACGCTGCATATTATCTGTGAAAACATCAAATCTAATGGAGAATATATGTTCATGAATAATAACATCGTGAGCTAAAAATGGTTCATACAAAATTACAGGGCTGAACCAATCAAATTTCGGGGTTTTTTCAGCTCGGGTTGACTATGGTTAACACCGAATAACTTTGATAGCTTCTCTTAAAGCTAGTTCAACCCCAGGGAGACTAGCAAGTCTTAAATAATTCAAACATCACTTCACGATCGCGCTATTTCCTTTCAGTTGAAGAACAAAATAATTGATTTAATGTCTCAAACCGAAAACTCTCTAGGGTATCAGGACGAGGCACATGGGGCAGTCGGGGTTGAACTAACTAGTTGCATCAAAGCAGGAGGAAGGTTAAAAACTATTCAAACAGAAGTCATGTAAACAATGGAACTCGGATTTTAACTGTGAATATTACTGTGATTAAACGATGTTGTATCAAAAGCAAGCATACGAATATCCATTACTTATACATTCAAATGATATAATTTCTTTTGCAGGTGTATGAAATTCCTGGTCAGTAGGCCTGGTCTTCTAATTTGTACGATGGCGGAGGGGTGCCACACTTCCGGTTATTATCATCCTCCACGTCCGCCATTGCACAACATGCCCGCCATCTTGAATGTTCCCGCAAATGATGCAGGATTATAACAGAGCAGCTGAAAACTGCCGAGACCGAGAACTCCTGGATGTTATCCTCCAAAAGCAAGACGAACACCGTAGTGACGCCGGATCTCGTATATCCACCCTTCTCGCAAGAACTAACGGGAACCTCAGTCGGCCATCGAGTTTCTCCAGACGATCTCTGAACCTCTCGCACCAAAGTCTCGCAAGCGCGTCACGTGTCACGCTGTGTGAAAAGGAGAGCTGCGTCATCAAGTTCCTGTTCAGTCTTGGCCTTCTGTGTCTCGCCTCCCTAATTCTGTGTGCCCTGTCCCTTCAGATTATCTTCTCCTTGGGGGGTGCGGAGGTGGACTTTACCCCCGGGACTGGCGCCACCCTCATCAACTCCAGCTCTGTGTATGAGAGTGTGCTGGAGGTGACAGTTGCTCTGTCCATGTTTGTCATTATGATGGACATCTGCTGTCTCATGGTGTGCTCAATGCAATGTTTCTTCGCATCCAAGATTCTCAAAACCCCAGAGGGAGAAGAAAGGTAAGAAGAAAAAACCCAAAACAAATGGCTGTGTCAAATACTCATATAATTGAATTAATTCGTTGTTCTGTATTGCACTTTTTCTAAAACAGATCACTGGAGATAAAACGAAGAAAGGGAGCTTAGTTGTTCGCTTGTCTCACCGAAGGCCCTGTTCGATTCATTGTGTGAAGCTCATTTCTGCTGTCCCTGGTCGTGATATTGTTAGGATGCATAATTTGTTACACAGCGCGTAGAGCCATACATAATTTCTTGCTTCTTAAACGCTCACCTATTGATATCAAAAAAGTTTTTAAAGGGTCCCCGGTGAGTAATACTGATACATACTTTAGGAAATCTCACAAGATGAATACATACTATGAAAACTCTGTCTTCTTAGCCTTGACATGTCATGTCCTGACCTGAAATTTAATTCAATCCCCTCAACATCCAGTACAGACGTCAAAAGGTCGGTTGGGCACCGCCATCACTCGCCGTTACACATTACCACTTTTTCACTTACCAGTTTTACATATCAGCAATGTCATCAGAAACCAGAGCAAAAGCACTTAGATTAGCCACACTGTTGAGCAGAAATGTCCTGCTGTTTATTTTCGCCAATGTTGAATAAGTAGCTTTTGGAATCCCCTTATAGAATTCGGGCTAACAAACGCGGTGATGGGGAACAAATTTCAAACTCAATGTCAATCCAATTTCAAGGAAAATGAAATTCCATTAAATGGTATAGAGAAGGTGATCTAAATCCTATCAGTCTGAATTATCACCCGTGCGTCACTGGCCTGTCAATGCCACTGAACTTTGACAAATAAGTACTTGTCATGGATTACGGTAGACGGTAGACGTCATTCCATCTTTATGCAATGGCTTTCCGGGCCATTGTGGCTGTCCATGTCATGCAGCTCAGAACATAAAAGCTATACAGAGCCAGTATTTAGGATCTCATGAAACTATCTTTGAATTGATTCACAACACTTCATACTAAATGATCATTGACACATACAATTTTTTCGATGATCTGCTATACTCTGTAGATATTTGTACACGTAAGGTAATTTGTCGGAATATCAATACAGAAGTTGGTCCCAAGGCAGCGAGTCTAGGCTACCGGCAACTGCTCGTTGCTGTCGTGATAATCTCCTGTGAATCTTGAATCACTTTGAGTGATAATCTGTTCCAGGCCTGGTCTGGTGGTTGGATGAGAACTGTTCTATTGTCATTCCCATCAAACTGAGCATTAATTCTGATAAAGTCTCTGACCTGTGTAAGCTAGTCTTTCTCCGATCTAAATCAGCAGCACGAAGTTGTGAGTGAGAACTATATGTCTGCAATATCAGCTAATAACATGGGCACACACTCACGGGGGATGTAGACGGTCTGGTCCATTCTCGGGGTCATTATTTAAGAATGTATGACTTGTGTATGGACCGTGAGACGTGAAATTATTACTTAACGTTCTATAATCTCCTTGAGGGAGGTCAGATTCCCGCAGGGGAATTACTTACAAGACACCAGTTAACACACTGTCTGGAGACAGTAAAATGATATACCGTGTTGTAAATAGTGGTGAGGTCAGGCATAATGTACAGTTTGTTCTTCTCAGAGTTTTTTTTTCAAAGAAATATGAAATGAAACTTTCATGTGTAATAATTAACAAATAAAATAACATCCATTGTTAAAATTTCTTTCAAATGTGAAACCTGTCGCCACGTTTCTTCATTTCTTGACGCTATCACTTCTTACCAAATGGTTAATTGTTTTCAGCTTAACAGCAAAAACAGATATTTATGAAATGAAATAATGAGCCTAATTCAACTGGCAACAATTTATTTTTGTGGGATCGAATTCAACAGTCTGAAACATAATTACCCCTACACTCCACACCCACCAGAATATGTAATGGCCTGTCTCTGAACGGGACATCCAGTTGCAGCAAATTGACAGATGCATTTCCGTGGTATGGGCGTCCTATCGCCATCTTAATATTCCATGATTGCAGTGTGTTTCTCATGGTTGTACCTCTAATCGGTTGTTGTTATACTCACTCATATTCAATTTTAATAGAAACTGAGGGTCATGAATCATGTTATAAATCTATTACCTAATCAACTCATAGATATAACAGCCCTGCAGATGAGCATACATCAAACCACTGTACGGAGCTCACTGGCAGCCATTTTTCAACACCGCTGCAGGTTCATGTTCTTCCTTGACTCTTGCATCTTAATGATTGAGTTGACCGAGGAGCTTCGATCTTGAACAGACGTTTTCAGGATGGCGAGCATCGATTCTGAATATCAAATTATCGATCAACCCTGAAATGGCCATCGAGGTGACGATGACGAACTAAAACGTATAATGTAGGTCCTTAATGATCCGTGAACATCAGCTGAAGCAATACATTACAAACTGATGAATCGGAACGTCTCTCGGTAGTATTAGATCGATGATCTTGTAATCGTGCGTAACATGCAAAGTCACGAGCAAGGAAGGTGACACTGTGCAAAGTGAGAGTCGTATGATAGAAGCCAAAACTTCTAGATAACAGAACGGTCTAGATATATAGGGTGAAATATGTATTAAATGCAATAATGAAATATTGGCCTACACAAAGAATGCACATTTCCTTAGTGAATATCGGCTGTAGGGTATCGATGTTTTCGTTAAGTTTATGGAAAAATCGCTTATTTGATTCAGACCAAAGTTATAATTTGTGTGTTAAGGCATATTAAAAATGCAATCACACAGCAATTCGTAATTCCTACTTCCATGCATATTTCCAGCAGACAATGGGCTGTACCTGGCATGTCTTATTCTGTCTGTTACTCCTGATTCAATACAATATCCATTTGCAATGTTTGGAGAATACCGCCGTACAATGAATAATACGAATTCGTTTGTTTGTTCCAGATCAAAGTCGCGTTACACAATAACATCAGTGAAAGCCATTTTCAGAAACTGAACATAATTTAAATAAATAGAAAGTCATTTGGAATCATTTCGATCCCAATGTATTTGCCTTGCTAATATCCTCAATAAAAATCGAATATTTATTGCCTCGACCCTCATCCTATGTCACCAGAGACGGTTAGGAGTGTAATATGGGCATCAATTCAGTGAGCTGTCTTCAGCTTCAGCCACACGCACAGATTAAATTCATAACCTGATTTAGCCAATAAACAGAATTAGGAAAATGTGGGGCGAGGGTTTCAGCAAACACGGTTCCTCACAGAGGAGGTGTACACGTGAGTTTGCAAACGTTTAATCAGTTCGTCATACGTGGTTCTAAAGAATAAGAAAAAACTTCGTGATTTCTACCTTGAAGTCGTCGGTCATTCTGACATATCTGGTCATCACTTCGCCCAGTAATTACAGTGTTTCGTAAACTGGAAACATTATTAATGAGAATACTAATCTGCTAATATCATAGCACTATGTATATTTTTTCGGCGTCCTTGTTATAAGGAGTAATCTATTTTATTCGTGGTAGTTTACACTGGAACCTCTTTGGTGTTGGAGTTCTGGTTGTATTAAGTTACTGATTATTGAACACGTGGCAGTTCCTGTTGTGTGCTTAACATTGGATATGTTCACTTCGTTAAACAGAAGAAAATATTTAAACACAACCCAGGTTTTATACATATGAGACCACGGGTGATTCAGATTCTGATACTGTAGAGAGTACCATGCGATTTAGCAAAACTTTCATCACTCATAAATTGCTAACCGTGTCATTACTGTCCCAGGTCTAGCAAGCATATTGTATCGCGTCACGAAGTCGTAGTTCATCGGACATACAACCCCACTATCAAACCCACGCATGTTCCCTTGTTTGAATTGTAGAAAGTTTACAATCATACGTTGCTCCGCCAATTACCCAATTTTCCATGTAAAAGAATATCAAGTACGAACAGAAACGTTGGAGATAGCTGTAGATCACGACACGTCTCTGAATCTTTATCAATCAGTTCATAAAAACCCTCCGGTTTGTGTTGAACATGGCCGTTGTTTGCAATATTTTAACCTTTTTGTGTCTTGCGTGAATATATCAAACAGTGATGGCTAAAAGAAGTTGACATATTAACTGGCCACACATTATCCTGTCCACGGCATTGACATCATTTGTCCCTGTAGACGAACCAGTAGCACTATTTACCATCCACTACCACACATGATTAACCAAGTCTCCACTCAACTCACTTCATATCGAACGTCAGTACAACTGAATACCCAGTCTTGACTTTCTCCAGAAACAAAGTGAAATCTAATTCATCATTCGTAAAGGGGGTTATCCCTGCCACTCGCCACTCGCCCAATTCACTTTGTGCCTCAGGACACATTCACACCATCAGCTTCCTCTAAGCATTAACAGAAGCTCATACGCATGACGTTGAGACTACTTCTTTCCGCGGTTCTTTGCCGCTTTTATTCTCCGGATGATTCTTTTCTCTCCTGCGATAAGGTTACGTTATTTCTTTCGGCTCTAAGTTAACGCAATATGTGAGATGCTATTAGACATGTGTCAAAATGGTAGGGGAACGTATCCTGGTAGCTTCATCAAAATGAAATAGCAGAAGGTAGATCTTGAAACGTACTTGGCGTTGGTGACAAGAGTTTATTTGACTCCAAGATAGATAGCTGTTAGACAGCTGTAGGTGGCGTGAAGTGTATTTTGATGTATACAACATAAGAATTGTAGGTTATAGTTTACCCAGTTTAACAATGAACAGTTTTGTAAACATAATAGTGATTAATACCTATTGGCTGCCAGGCGTATGTAATAAAATGGAATAATGTGATTTGAGAACTCTTAAACATTGTTTAGCAGATTTTGTCGGAGCGCCATTCGTGATCATTATTGTGAGTGAGTTAAAATGTAAAGTTACGTCCACTATATTTAAGCCATATTGTGACTGCAACAAGGTGTACTATTGTTATACCATAACAAGGTGTACTATTGTTATACCATAACAAGGTGTACTATTGTTATACCATACAAAATG